GTGCAGGTGCGCAAACCACACCGCAGATTCTGAGTCGCGCGCGGCTGTCTCTCTTCTCACGCTCTTCGCCCTTCGCCCGCCAGGTGCCGGCTGTGGAGGCGGCGGCGGCGACGGCCGCGCCAGCGACGCCGGCCGAGCTCGCGCCGCTGCCTGCGGAGGCTGCCTCGCCGCCGGCAGGCGGTGCGGCGGCGCCCTCTGCGGGCAGTGCGTCCTGGCTCACGTTCCTCGGGACGGCCACCGCGTGGGTTGGGGGGGCCGTGCTCGAGGCAGCGGCGGAGGGCCTCCGCCGAGCAAAGCGGCGGCGATGCGAGGGGGAGCAGAGGGAGGGAGGGGGGGGGGGGGAGGACGAGGCGCCGCCTTTCGGCTCGAGCGGGCGGGCGCGCCTCGGCGGCCCCTCCGCCGACGAGGCGGGCGGCGGTGGCGCGCCGCCGGCCGCGCCGGCCGCGCAGGCCGCCGTGCGCACCATCACCGCTGCAGGCGCCGAGGCAGTTCGGCAGGCAGACAGGGAGGGGCTCTCCCTTGCCACGGGCGGGAGCAACAGCGGCTACAAAGGCGTGACCTACTGCCCGAAGAGGAAAGGCAGCAAGAAGTACCAGCTGATGGCGACGGTTGGAGGCAAGAGTGTCTTCCTCGGCTGGTTCGCCACCGCCGAGCAGGCTGCGCTCTTCTACGCCCGCAGGGAGGCGGGCAGGGACACCAGCGATCTCACCGCGCCGCCGCCACCGCCGCCGCCGCCCGCACCTTCCTCTGCCGCTGGCGCCGACGCAGTTCGGCAGGCGGGGAGGGAGGGTCTGAGTCTGGCAACGAGCAGCAGCAGCAACAGCGGCTACAAAGGCGTGTACTACTGCCCGAAGAGGAAAGGCAGCAAGAGGTACGAGCTGAAGGAGTCGGTTGGCGGCAAGGTGGCCAGCCTCGGCTTTTTCGCCACTGCCGAGCAGGCGGCGCTCTTCCGCGCCCGCAGGGAGGCGGGCAGGGATACCTCCTAGAGAGAGACACGAGGCGATGGAGAAGAGGTTCGCCGCCGAACTTTCGGTCCGGCGAGCCTTCCCGCCGCCGGGTCGAGGCCCCAGCGCAGTGACTGTGGGTGAGAGACGAAACGAGAGGTGTGTCCGACTCGATCCGAGAACACTTCGACATCAAACCATGGCTCTCAAGCAAGGTCCGACAACGGCACGTGCGTCTTCTTTTTTCTCTGTGTAGCTCAGTGGGCCGAAAGAGCGTACCGAAAGAGCCGCGAAGATTTACCCACAGGCGCTGCCTGGTTCTCTCGCATCGCCGTGCCGCTCTCGCCTCGCCGTGCCAAAGCCAACCATCTTCGTCGCGGCCACGCGGCAGCATGTCGGAAAGACCACCGTCAGCCTGGCGCTGATGAGCGGCCTGCCATGTCGGAGTCGCTCTTATCGCGCTTCTTCTTGGAGCACTTGGAGCACTTGGAGTGCAGTCATTAACCGCACACCCAGGGCCGGGGAGCTCAGAAGCGCACCCAGCGGGCCGGATGATTGGCATCGGGTTACGGGCTAGAGAGCCCTAGCCCCGGGGGTGCGCGTTCGCAGGGAAAGGGCCGTAAAGTAAACACGGGTCTCCGAGGGTTGGCTCCGCGCTCCAGGTTTCCCCTAGCAGCAGACCGCCCCCTCTACTCGGAGCTATAATGAACACCAGACATGCACACGACACGCACTCTCACACGACGTCACCGCTCAGGGCCTCTTCGTTCGCGCAAGGTCCTCATCCTCACTCCGGAGGAGGCTCCCCTCTCCTCTGAGTTCTTCCTCTTGTTCGCCTTCCGATGATCGTCTGACGGGCGCGGGGCCCGGCCTCCCCTCCTAGCCTTTTTCAGCCGCGGCCCCGCCACCGCCTCGTCTTCTCTGTCCGATTCTGTCGCCACGACGGTGATCTCTCGCACTTGGAGCACTTGGAGTGCAGTCATTAACCGCACATCCAGGGCCGGGGAGCTCAGAAGCGCACCCAGCGGGCCGGATGATTGGCATCGGGTTGCGGGCAAGAGAGCCCTAGCCCCGGGGGTGCGCGTTCGCAGGGCAAGGGCCTTAAAGTAAACACAGTTCTCCGAGAGGGCTCCGTGTACCGGGTTTCCCCTTAACTGCAGAACGCCCCCTCTACTCGGAGCTAGTGGACACGGACACTACGACACCACCCGTCACGTACACACACGACTGTCTAACGTGTACACTGCCCGGCCTCATCCCCCCCCTTTCAGGGTGGATCTTCAGTCTGGTTCGGTCTCTTGCTCGCCTTTCGGGCGTCGCCCCACTGCCTCTGCAGTCGTTTTTGATGTCTCTTCTTCGGAGGCGGCCCCTCCGCCCCACCTCCGTCGGCTAGCCCCATTGGCCCCGAGGGAGCCGACAGCCCGGGTGGGGCCTCCCCGGGCGGGAGTGGCGGCATTGTGTCTCGTCGCCACCCCTCCCCGGGAGGTCGGGCCGGCTCTCCCTGGTCGGCGAATCGCGCCCGCATCCGCGGCCTCTCCATCGTTCTCGCAGTGTTACTGAGTGGAAACTTCTTGTTTTCTGTGCTTCCGCCATGCTGCATGCCGGCTCTCGTCGCGGCCCCGTACGCGCCGCGCTCGCCATGTGCGTCGGCTCGTCCGCGCTCGGCTCAGGTGCGCTCAACGAGCGCAGCGTCGAGACGGCGCACAGCTTCACCGGCCGGATGTGTGCTGCCAGCCGGCTCGAGGAGACTAGGCGGCCCGACTCTCTATTCTCCGACCCGCTTGCGTACACGCTTGCCGGCAAGGAGGGCCGCGCCCAGCCGATGGGCGGCTGGATCATGGTGCCGCGGACACGCTTCGGCGACGATTTTCTGCGCGATCACTACACGCGCGGCGCCCGGCAGCTCGTGCTGCTTGGCGCTGGTTTCGACGCGCGCGCCTACCGCATGAGCGGCCTGCCGGAGCTTCGCGTGTACGAGGTGGACCAGAAGACAACCTTTGAAGTCAAGGAGCCGCTGCTAACCGGTGGGCCGCACTCCCAGGTCATGAGACGCACACTTGGTTGGACTGCGCGACCATTCATGCCGCAGGTGAGTCGCTCGCAGTGGCGTCTCGCGCCGCCGTCGCCACCGAGTTCACCCGACCGGGCGAGTGGGCGGCGGCGCTGCTGGCGTCCGGATTCGATCCCGCGGTGCCGACGACCAATTAGAGAACCGCCACGCGCAGCGTCTCTTCACGGCTGCTGCTGTGAGCAGGCACCATACACACCGTCACGAGCGAGTGCGATGTGAGCGGCGTCTCTTCTTCACGCGCGATGCTGTCTCAAGGTACCGACGGTGTGGCTCGCCGAGGGCCTGCTCATGTACCTCTCCGCCGCCGACGCGGCCGACCTGATGAAGCAGGTGCGTCTGCTCATGACCAATCTCCCTCCCTCATCCCGGCTGTGAGGCGCATAGTGTGTAAATGACCCCTCCTCGTCGCCCCTCACCACCGCTCACCAGGTCGGCCAACTCTCTGCGCGCGGTTCCGCCGTCTTCCACGACGCCGTCTCCGCAGAGTACCTGAACGCGCGCGTGAGCGTCGCGGGTGCGCCCTTCATCGGCGCGTCGGACGAGTACGTCAACATGTGGCGTAGCATCGGAGGGTTCGGCTCCGGATATGCGCACGACTTTCGCGCCATCAAGGTGGACCGCGCCCGCCGCCGCATCGACGTGGATCGGCGCTGGCCCGAGGCGACGGCCGCGCGGTGCGCAGGGCAGCAGGTCGTGCTCTTTGTGGAGGTGGAGATGGAGTAGCCCGATGCGTGCGTGTGGGTGGGGAGGGGTCTTGTGTCGTGATTTTGTGCGCGTGGGACTTTCGCTATGCACAAATAGATCACAACACAAGGATCACCAGGCACCGCCTCGGTACACGAAATCTGTCTGCGGGCAGATCCGCACACCGCAGCTCAAATCATCGCAAAAACCCTCTCTCAGGACTCAGCAGTCCACCTTCACGCTTCAGAAACAGAAACTGTGGGCATGAGTTGCTCCTTCGACTTAGGGAGCGGTTCAGCTGCTGGGCGGGCTTCAGGCTGGTGCTCACGCGAAAAGGAATCGACGCGATGTACAAAGCATACAACAAGAGGAGAAAGAAGAGGACGGACATCAGTGATGACGAAACACCAAACAGAAGCTAGCACAGACGCGAGCAGGGCAGACCCGGGGACGGCGGAGCCGGAGCAGACGGCATCGGCCGCCGAGGGAACGTTGGGAAGAGGCACGAGGAGGGCGGCGACCTCGACCGACTATGGAGGACCCGTCGCCAGACGACGCAGGGCAGACGATGTGGAGGCGGAGCAGAGGTGACGCGCAGGGCGAGACGCTGTTCCTTTTTACCCATCTCACAGTAGAGAGGTGTCCGTTTTTATTTATTTAGTCCACCTTCGGGTACGTAGGTTGGTAAGAGCCACATACACTGAGAGAGGGGGGGGGGGGGGGGGGAGAGAGAGACACACAGACAGAGAGACTAGAGAAACAGAGAAAACAGATTCGATCCAACCAAATACTTGGGCGGAGGCAAATACAGAAACT